TTCTTTAGAATGCTCTTTTGCATGTAAAGCACAAACTGTGTTTCAGTTTAAATGTACTTCCCATTCATTTTCGTGGGGAAGAGCTTGAGCCACAGACATTCTGCTGAAGGGAAATCTAGTCAGTTGGTTTGAAGAGCACAGCCCAGAGGAAGCAAGGCCTGGCTAGGTGTGAAGGAGCATCTTGGTGATTTAAAAGAGGAGCTGTTGCTTTGGCCGTGCTTAGAGAGAAATACTGCTGGAAAATTTCCAATTTCTACTACGTTCACCATCTCTAGTGAGATCAGACACATGTTGAAGTTATGTTTTGATTTGGCACACAGCATGCTCGATGATGGTTACTCGCCTAGTACAAGATACGGAGAAGAAACCTTTGGACACAGAGCAGATGACACCTCCTTCTGTCTTGGTAGTGTATCCCGGTGTCATTTTCGGTGGACGTGGTCAGGTAGAGTTGTTTCTGTTGTTGTTGTTGGGCTTCTTTTTCCCTTGGTCTCTTTTGGTGGGTGGGGGGCTAAAGCCATAGGAGGAAAACCGTGATGTATGTGTCCAGTATGTACTATTTTGTTTTTGTTTTGCAAGAAGAGTTGAACTATTTTTGATAACAAGAGTAAATGGTGGAAAATGCTTCTTAGTTGTCTTGTCTTTATTTGCTTTCCAAGTTTTGGAATTTTATTTAATTCCTTTAAGTGTTAGCAGTGTCTTATGAAACATGTATTTACCTAAAGTTTGTAACAGTTTTGTGTTGAACCCCGATGCCCTGCTATATAAACTTGTAAATCTGTTCTTTATTCACTAATGATCACTGCAAAAATGATTAGAAATGAGACTGTACACATGATGAGGATATATTTTGCAAATCTACCAAACTTTCCTAATATTATGATCTTAAAATTCATAGAGTACTTTATTGCTTCCCAAGTTTGATAATCTTGTGTTTTTTGATGCATGGGAGGTTGGCAATATAGACAAAGGGGAAATCAACAGTATGTGAGGGCCTTGATTGCTATGTAATATTGCCAATGATGAATTCAGGTTGTTTTTAGCACAAGTTTCTCTTTTTTATGCTGGTATTCTCACTGCCACACTTTTGGAAACCTGTATTACACCTTAAATCTATCAATAAATGATAGTTTTCTAATTCTATGTTGTAGAATACTGAGGAGTTTGGGATAGTATGCTCTGAGTGGTCTCTGTATTATATACATTTGGGGAAGAGTAATGAATTACAGTGCCTTTTAAAAAAATACTGCTTTTCTTTATGCTGCAAGTTACTTGGGAGTGCTAGCCAATGGCTAACTAGGAGTGACTGAGAGAGTATTACTGAAGTTATTGGGTTTACTTCATTGGGATTTTAAACCACCAAAACAGCAGCAGCATTTAATATGACATGTCCTGAATGTTGAGCCCTTTTTATTAATGAAAATGAGCAAATGATTCTTTTTAACCTTCTAGTGGCTCTAGAGCTGACAACTTATCTTTTTGGTTGCTTCATTAAGTCTGCATTTCCATGATGAGGTGTAGGCTGGCCCTGGGATAAATAATTCTTTTAGTTTCATTATGTCTTTAGTTTTCTTAAAACAGTCCCATGGTGACCTTGCTGAAGAAAAGTACAAGTTTTACAACAATCACATGAATTGTCCTTTCCCAGTAGGTAACACAATGCATTAGAAAATACTAAGGTCCAAAGTACAGTGTAGAATCTGGATATAATACTTGGATGATATTTTATATTTTTCTTCCTTCTTTAAACAAAAACGCCAGGTGCAGTGGTTTGTGCCTGTAACCCTGCTGCTTGGGAGGCTGAGGTGGGAGGATTGCTTGAGCCCAGGAGTAGAGTTTAGGTACCCAATAGCATGCAATTACACATCCTTTTAAAATAATACATTATAAATAAGGCTGAAGTCCCCTCTGGTCCCTGTAAATTCCCTCTCATTCCCAAACCCTGGTCCTCCTATCTCCAAAAGAAATCACTTTGTAGTATATTATCATTCCAGACCTTTATAAGTTTTCACAAGGATTCAGTTATTCTCTTTGAAACTCAAGCTTGTTTACAATGTTACTCTTTCAGACATAAAAATGAGGTACAAGTGTGATTAGAAGCAAAAGTGTGTAGTGATTATCTTAATGTGATTCACGTTTGACAACTTTATTTCATTTTGCAAAAAGGGAAAAACAAAAAAGTCATGCAGCCTTCTCCATTCAAACACACCTTAACGTTTTCAAAAGCTGAGCAGATTTACCTCAGTTGATCAGTCTAGAGTTTTATAAACACTCTGAACTACACTGTGACAGAGATAAGATTACAGGGAAACGTGGAATTTTATTGGTTTGATTACATTGGCAATTAATGTTATGCTCTGAATATCATCTTTCATTGAATTGCATTAAGATCATGATAACCCTCAACTTATCTTTTATCAAGGGGCCTGGGTAATTGAAACTACTTGAAATTTCCAGTTTTACAGTAATGATTATATTTAGTGTGATCTTCACCAGAAAGTAAAATGTAATCTATCCTGGTTCCTTGGAATTAACATTCCTTGCATTCAGCTCCAAGAAAGGAGTACAGTGAAACACATTCTTATAATTCCTGAAAATGTGAGAATTTGGGTAACCTTTAAATAGCTTATCTTTAATGGAATGGTTCTACTTTTATTACAGTGACTTAACAAAACCAAATATTGATTAAAGTGACAGCAAGACGACTTCAGTTAAGGAGAAACAAGGTTATAGAATGTAAAGCTAAATCGTTCTTTAAAAAAAATGCATACTGTAAAAGTGAATTTCATTTTTACTTTTTGGTGACTCTTGGAAGTGGATCAGATCATTATGGATAATAAAACTTGTAAACCATATCTAGCTACTAAATGAAGTATAACCTTTTTTGTTTCTACCTGAAATAAAACAGCTGCTTTTCTTTCTTGGTAAAGGCTAGATGGGATTGAGAACTAAATTTTGTGTATCACATGCAGAAAAGTGAATAGGGTTACTGCATGTAGTGTTTCCTAAAAACTTAGATCACTTTTGATTCTGTTGTGTGAACTATTAGATAGCTGTAATAGTTACTTCAGTAACAGTTAAGTGGAAATCAGTTTTAATCATGAAAACAGGAAACTGGGAGGAGCTTGTGATGGGCAGATCGCTGACTGCTACTGTCCTCGTTGATGGTGTATGTCCTACATTTGCTCTTTCTCCGCTTTCTGCCTACCACAGCCCAAGGTGTGATTATTTCAGTGTTTGGTCTTTACACCAGCAAGGGGGGAACCAAGCGGGGGAAGCTATTCTTGACACTTTTAGGACTGGTTAGAAAAAGAATAGGAAAGAAGTTGACTTTGACAGAGACGGACGGATGTTTAAGAGGTTTCTGAGGGGATTCTTGTACTTAAGTCAGAAATGCCCATCCTTTGAGTTTCTTTTCAAGGATATCACAGGATTTGGCTGCACTGGCCTGCTGAAGAATGTGGGATTCTGCAATGAACACGTACAATTACAGTAAAGAGCATTTTTAATGGGTGCATCCGTTTCTCTGATAAATACTTTGGTGAATGAAATAGCTGCAATAGTAGTTTCTTTTCAACATAAAGGAAGGAATAATGTTTAGATTGAGGCCTTTACTACTAATCTCAATTCAAGGGAGAAAGGAATATGTCTCGTGAGAATTTTCATGTGTCATTCATTATTCCTTTCTGTCTTCAAGTAGACTTTCTGATAGGAAGTGAAGATGGGGTATCAACTCATTTGGAGATTAATAAATCATTCAGTAGTTCACTGAACAAATGTTAAGATAAGTCAAATGTTAGATAAGTTAAAAGGGCGCCCCCCCCCCAAGTGTGAGTCAAATGCTTTGCCTGTCTTCATTTAAGTTTTTTCTTAAAATCTTATACAAGATCCACAGTCAGGATAGGGAGGTTGCCAGAGCTTGCCAGTGAAGTTAGAAGGCCCAGTGGTTACGATACCTGAGGATGTAAAAGTGACTAGCAGTTTGGCAGGTCATTGTGAAATTACATTAAACCAGGTAAGTTCAAGGTCTTTGAACTCCAGTAATATATAATTAAAATAAGTCTCTGAGATGTTTTGGCAGTGCTTTTATGACTAGGGCTAAGTCGATTCTGGAGGCTCTTAACAGCTTTTACAAGTTCCAGAAGTTTTTGCCTGAAGTTATCTGCAAGTGAAGAATTCTTCTAGGCCCTTGGGGGGGCCTCAGGGATGCCAGCCAACACTGAGGCAACTTCAGCTTCCGTGGAGAGAACTGCTTGGCTCTGTCCCTAAGAGATCCTTGGTACATTCAGGGTGGAGACTGCTGACTTTGGAAGGTGATGGACATAATTACGTTCACTTCTGAGGACAAGCTCTGTAAGAGGTTTGAGGCAAACTGGAGGAGTCCCATCAGTTGAGTGTGTATCCAGGTCTGTTAAAACGTTTAAAGTCTGTAGCGCGGATACACACGTGAGGACAGAGAAGCCTTTAAAAAGCTGTATGCAAACCAGAATATCTCTTCGCAAGAAAACATTTCAAATACACAATTTCTTTTCATGTAGACGTTGGCAGCTATTCTTCATCCACTGATGGGAGCGTTCCACATTTCTCTGAAAGGCTAGAGCTTACTATCTTATTGCTTTTGTTTCCACATTCAGAGGGAGAGGCAGGTTCCTCTGTTTCATACTCTTCAAATGAGCTGAAAGGACAAAGCAAAAGTGGGTTAGCTGATCTTTTTTTTTAAAGCTTTAGTGTTTGTGTAGAAATCAGGATGGCCAACCAAAGACTGGAAGACCAGCCTGCAGACATACCCTCTGATGCTAAATGGAGGCTATAAACCACAGAGCTGCCCTGGAGAACACTTAAAGCCGAAGTCCCTGTTAGGACGCGCTCAAAGTGTGCTGTATCGAGCCTCCCTCGGGGCCTGGGTGGGAACCAGAGCATTGCAGCCGGTGCTAGGTGAAGGGGAATTCGAGGTCCGTGAAGCACCAGCCTCACCCGGATGTCTGCTGAAGTGGATCCCATGCAGAGTGGCAAACTCGAACTGCCTCACAGCTTTCTCCATAGCTCCCAAGAAGCACTATCAGACGTGCAATTGGCACGCAGAGCTGACTAAGGCCATTCTCCTTTGCAGAACTCTACAGCATACCTAGGTGTCAGTCCTGGGAAGAATTCCCTCTGCTCACTCCCCTTCAGAGGTTGCTGATATCCCCGAATCCCATATCCTCCAGGACATGCAACGTCCTTCCATACCTTGAGAATGGCTTTAGGCAGAGATGACAATATTGAAGTCTCAAACTGATAAACATTCTGAGGCCACATCTCAGCCTAGAAAAATACACATGCTCCGTGAGCACCGTCTGTTGTGGGTTTGACACCACTGGCTTATATCAAGGTCCGACTACTAAGGAAAAATGTGCAGAGGTGTATACAGAAGGCAGCACCTGTTTAGGTTTCTAAGACATTTTTGAGTCAAGGTTAGAGAAGCTTAAGCCTTTTTTTAAAAAAAGGAAAACCTACCGGATGGGAAATCGTTCACTATGAATAGCAGCTTGTGATGCTACCAAAAATTATTCACAACTTGATCATTTTAGGAAAATCCTCCATTCCATTCTTGTTTCCACAAGTGGGAAGACAATTCTCAAAATTCTAGCAAGGCACTGTCAGACCCGGGTTCCTTCCTGTCAGGATGGAAGATGTTTTCCTCTTGGTCCCCCAGTTTGCCATCTGCGAGCTATCACTGTCTTAAATACCTCATTACAGGTCTGAGAATACGGCATATTTTGCGAGTGTTAATTCTGCAGTGAGACGCGGTAAGTACCTCAACTCCTGCAGGCTGCCCTTGAGCCGAACGCTGGGAATATGACGAACGCGACGGAGCTGCCTGTCCGCCCCACTCTGCGGTCTCGTGGAGGCCACCTGGAGTGGCTGAGCGGCTCACCCAGAGACCACAGGCTTCGGAGTGAATACCCTCCCAGTCATGTTCCAGCCTGGGTTTCACACGTAACCGTGACTGTGGGCTTACCGGAGCATGGCAGTGACTGACAACCCTGTGTTGGGGCAGGGTGGCAAGTTCTACGTGTGTGTCACTTTTGAATAAAGCATTTGCAAAAAGGAACTCATTCACTAGCCTTTCTCAGCATCCTGGGGACCCCTCCTAATCACAGTGGTTTCCGACTGGGGAGATTCCCCCTCCCCCTCAGGGCATCTGGCAATGTCTGGAGACGTAAGCTGTTAGAATCGGGTGGGTCTTGCTGGCATCTCGTGGGTAGGGTCAAGGATGTGGCTACCCACTCACTGTGCCCGGCGACACCTCAGTAGAACTGTCCAGCTCAGCACGTCAGGGCTTTGAGAAGCCCTGCTCTAACCCTGGCCCCTTCAGGGTCAGCATTCGTCCAGAGTGCTGAGCTCTTCTAAGCCTTGCAGGCTTAGTCTTCCCCTTGGCTACCTGTCACCTGTGGCTTCTAGATCATGGCCAGCCCGAGGATGGCTCTTGCAGAGCGGCAGCCTGTAGCGACAGAACTCGCCTTTCCCGTTGCCCTGGTTCTCCCTATTGGAGTGAGGGGCTCCATCCACACGCTCAAAGCCAGAAGCCTAGACCCGTTTCCCGTCCTTCCCGTCTTCAAATCCAGCCAGTCTCGTATGCCACCCACGGTTGGCCACGGGGATACAGCCACTGGCTTGGCCCAGGGCACCTTCCTTCCTCGTTTGGGCTCCCGCAGGAGTGTTCTAACCACTAGTCCTCCTGCCTCCACTCTTGCCACGTGCCCTCTGCTCCCGCCATGCCAGGCTGTTGGTGGTGTTGGAGTGGGTTCTGGTCTTGGGACCACGTCCGTGTTTTCCAGTTGCCTGAAATGCCCTTCCCGCTTTGGCTAGCTTGTGCAGCTTCTGATGTGAGATGTCACTTACAAGTGCCCTGATTCCTTACTCCCGAGCAACCACCATTTCTTACTCAGAGGTCTGTGATGGCTTCCTTAGTTCCTTCCTCTCTGCTGCTATTCTTGTACCTCCAGGGACCTGGCGGAACAACTTCCAAAACAATTAAGGTTAAGCGGGACTCTGTCTCTCCACCATCCCCAGGAGCTTCCCCAGGCCCTAGACGGTCAGTCCCTGCTGAGCATCCTGACCACACGTCCCTCCACGCTCGGTGTATCCCGGCCACACCAGCCTCTACACACGCCCCACACGGCCTCCCCGGGCCCATTCTTGTCCCGATTTTCGCCTCTTTCCTTCCTACCCTTTAGGTCTCCTCACCTCTTCGCAAGATTCTTCCCTCAGTACCCTAAGTTCCAACCCTAAGTTCTGACTGTTATGGGTGAATCCTATGTGCTTCCCTCTAATTATATAAATGTCTTCCCCACTTGACTGTAAAGTCCATCGTGAAGTGCATTTCTTTGGGCTACGGTATAGTGGCCGGCACCAACAAAAGAACCACTGGATGAAAACTGATGTCCCCCTGCTCTTGTGAAATGATGTGTGGAGTCGGCAGAATGGTGAGAGTGCAGGATTCATCCTGAAGTCCGGTCTGCGAGAGGCTTAATCTTTATCCTGCATTCTAGGGATTCCTGAGAACACGGAAATAGAGCGTGTTAACTGCCTCTTTCTAAGTGACAACTTCTGGGTTTAGATGTAGGTCACTGGGATGCCTCTGGGCTCAGCTGAAGATCATTTATTTTTTGGAGTCGCCCTGCCACCCAAGCTGGAGTGCAGTGGCATGATCACAGTTCACTGTAACCTAGAACTCCTAGGCTCAAGCAACCTTCCTGCCTCAGCCCGTGGTGTCTGCACTGCAGGCATGCATCACCATGCCTGGCTAGTTTTTGTTTGTTTATTTTTTTGTACAGATGTTGCCTGGGCTGGTCTCAAACTCCTGGCCTCAAGCAATTCTCCCACCTTGGTCTCCTGAGGTGCTGGGATCATAGGCGTGAGCCACCATGCCTGGCGGAAGATCATGAGGGGTTTTCTGTCCATTTAACTGACCATTTATAAATGAGCAGAGGGGTCAGGATTAAACCAAAACTCACAGGGTTCAGTGTTCTTAGCATGAGGGAAAATCACGACTCGTAACTTTTCCTGCAATTATCACCCCCTTCAGAAGCTCATTTCCCTAAGTGAGTTTTCCCTTTCAGATGAGCAGTTTCTGGCAAAAGGAGCTCCCTGGAAGTACAGTAGCTGGAATGAGCAGAGACGATGACTGGACACACGTGATCTTACAAAGGGTGGAATGCAGTTTCTGGGAGTTCTGCCTATTAACAGCAACAAAGAAGCAGAATCACACGGCTGCAGGTACAGAATGCAGGGTTAAGCAGTTCTCTAGCTGGGTGTCCATGATGCTTCCGAAACAAAAGTGTGAATTTGTCTTGATACTTTTAAATGCGGAGCAATCACGGGTTTGCGTGAAGTGGAGGAGCTGAGACATCTCGGGCCTCTGACCTTGGTCACCGGGGTTCCCTTCACCCCCCCGGTGCCCGCGGGACCTCTGGCCGCAGCTCCCTGGGCCTCCTGCCTGGCCTCACTCCGCTTCTGGCCGAGGAGCCCTTGCGGTTCCGCCGCGCCACAAGCCACCGCAGCTGACGTGGCCGAAGACAACAGAAAGACAGGGCTGAGGGCCCAACCGTGAGCCGGAGGCACCGGGTTCCGCCACTTTTGTCCCCAAGCCCAGTGCCTGGCTTGGAGGAGGAACCGGTAGGTATCTGTTGAAATCAGTTAAAATTGGGCTCTGGTTTGTTGTGTTGAATGCAGAAAGAAAGAAAACACCATCAGCTCGAGGTCCACACAAGGCTCCGTCTGCTAAGCACTGCAGAAAACCTGCCTGCCAGGTAGCTCGTGCTGCGGAATACGAATTGGCATTCCCTCTCTCTCTCTCCCTGCACCCCGATATGGGCTCGTGTGCCCTCATCCCCCAGACCCCTGCTCCTCTGCCGGATTCGCCCACCTCACTGACCCCTCACCTCTAGCTACGTTCCAGGAAGATTGCTCGGGGGGGTTCTGGCTGGCCTCCTTTGCCCAGGTGCCTTATTGTCCGGTGCTGACGGGAACGAGTGTATAACTCCAAAAGCGAGTCATTCACGTGAGTTCATATTTAGTATAGAAGAAGCTGCTGTTATAAACGACTAGTAGAGAACATTCTTCTAAATAACCTAAATGTGCAATAACAGGGACATGGATGCAGGTTACTGCTTGGGAGAATACTCAGAAGCATTGAAAGGCACGTTCTGGAACACACTAGTGTAACAAGTGTCAAAGGGCAATAAACTAAAGTGTAAATAATGGTTATCTCTGGATCACGGAACCAAAGGTGATTTTAATCTCTTTATATTTTCTAATTTTCTGCAGCAAGCCTATATTTTTCTACTAATCGGATAAAGACTTCCAGAATAAAAAAGAAAATTGTAGCCCAGGCGCAGTGGCTCACGCCTGTAATCCCAACAGGGAGGCCAAGGTGAGAGGATTTCCTGGGCCCAAGAGTTCGAGACCAGCCTGGGCAACATGGTGAGACTTCGTCTCCACAATAAATAAAAAAATTGACAGGGCATGGTGGGGCGCGCCTGTAGTCCCAGCTACTTGGAAGGCTGAGGTGGAAGGATCTCCTGAGTCCAGCAGGTCGAGGCTGTAGTCGCCGTGAACCTGCCACTGCACTCCAGCCTGGGAGACAGAGAGAGACTCCGTCTCCAAAAAAAAAATTGTGTTTAGTCTTGG